TCTTCATTTCATCAGTTAGGCAGTCACCCAAGTCTCGACAAGAGAATTTACACCAGATTTATTGTGAATGGGATCACTTACAGAGATAAGTGTGGACCAGCATGTGTGTCATAGCACAACGTTACAGTGCAGACATCTATTTTAGAACTGTGATTTAGTGTTAAAAAGACCAGGTCTGGAAACTCTTGCTCAGGTCCCCCATTTTTCAACTATTGATCTCAAACAGACTCTTCTTTGGGGTTGAACATACGTATATTGTTTCAATGACCAGCACCATCTTTTGTTCCTATTAATAATCTAGTTCAGCTACAGATTTCAGGTTATTCTACAGTTGCCACTTGGATATACAAGCATCAAATTAGTGTAGATACATTTTAAAATCACACACAATTCAGACCTACTATTATATACACTTAAACTAATGAGGCGCAGAAATGATGTTGACAGTCAGTGGCCCAATTTCTAGCCATGCCATTTTGGCTGATATTTTATCTGTAGATGATTCACAAAATGACCCTCCGCTGTCACCATAATCTTCCCTCTTGTTTATAAGTTACAGCTGTTCTGACACTGAGAGGTGGAATACAGAGCAATCTCTGAAGACCACAGATGGTGGTGGTGTGTGTGAGTGCATGTTAATGTTGTTTTGTTATGCATATGCAAAACTTTGCGAGTGAAGATGAAAAACAGACATGGAAAGAGAGAGGACAAGAGATTATTTAATGACAGTTTCAACTGCACATTTGCACACTGTACATTGTCCTTTTTCTGTTCTGTTCTCAAAGGTTTTATTCCATTTAAAGTGATCCTGGACTGAAATGTGCATGATCACCAGTCTAACAAATTCAAAATTGTTCCACCTTTAAGGAGCCTTCCCTGAATCACTGTTGATTATGAGAAGCTCCTCTTTAGCAAGTTTTTACTTTCTGGATCCTTGAAGCTACATGATTCGTAGCTATGGGAAAGATTTTTATGCGTGAGTGGCAGCATTCATTGTTTCTGATTGCATACACTCACCTTGAGATTGGCCATTGTTGGCAGACTATTGAGGTGTCAGGAAATAATCAAAGTTCAGTAGCTTTTGTGGCCAAGCCTTAAATGAAACACTTTCTTGCATATTCACTGTGAGGTGAGGATGAGTCAACGGCATTGGTAAAAGACAATAGTGTTGTGGAGACTGTATGTCCTAAGAAAGGTTCGCTATGATTGTGCTGATATAAAGCAATGAATAGATGCTGGGAATCATCATTTTGCAAGGTTAAAGGAATCTTTACAGTCCCACCCTAAATTTTTTTTTTTTTATTAATAAAGAAATCATGTAGAGGAGGAGGTCCATCATATTATTTAAAAAGAATACATAGTATAATAACACTATACACAGTGCCAGAATTGTGTATAGTTACAAAAAACTAGAATAACTCTTGAAGACTGTTTTCTACAGACTGCTAAATTGTGCCCTGCCCCTGACATTGGAAGCTGGCATTGCTATAAATTCCTGGCGACCCCTGCATTCAGCCTCGGGGGCAACCATGACCAAATTCACCCCCATCTCAACCTTCAAACCTGCTGTTGTGAAACCTCTACTGAAGCACTACTAAGCAAGATACTTAAAAAAGATTTCACAAGATAAACCATAAACAACAATAAACAATATTCCAAAGACAATTCAATCCGGGTTCAGAGCTAATCATAGCACAGAAACTGTTCTCAAGTGAGCTGAGACTTAGTGTAGAGGCCAGTAAGGGTTCATGGCCGGAATCCAAGGAATTGGCTCATTCCAAGGTACTGAAAGCACAATCCCTATATTCAGGTGATTATACACTAATGAAAACATACCTGTGAATATTATAGTCCATTTCTGTCAGTACATACATCTAAATGTTACAGACTGGACCTTCCTTGGTTTGCATCTGGCAGGGGACCTTATTCTCTCCACTGTACTAATCTAATATAGGCATAAAAATAACCCCAAATGATTAAAAAGAAATAACTTCATAGCTAACTATTTGTTGAACCATGTTCTATTTCTAAATAATGTATTTAAGCTGGGTTAAGGTAAAGCTAGCCTTAACATGACTGTACTGAATACACCTAACTGATACTAATTTTGATCTATTAATCTAATCCTGGGAAACTCAAAATGTCACTGTACTTATTTTCAGTTCCAAAATAAATATAGACAGTAAGAGGGAGGGAAGTAGAGTGCAGAACAAACACTAACTCAAACAGAGAAGTGAGCACGTAAAGATGGATGAAGGTCTCTCATTTTTTCAGCCGTTTATTCGGCAGACTGCCCACTATCTGGGGGAGTGGGTGGAGTGGGAGAGAGAGAGAGAGAGGAGCACTCAGAAGGATACTGGCCTACATTTTGTCTAGTGGAGCACTGTGTCAGCTGCACACACACAGGTATAAATACATTTGTGAACCACAGGCACATATTATATATATATATATATATACAACGTATGTATACCGCTAAAGATGAATCTACTTACACACTGTCACACAGATCGTGTAGATCAGCTCCTGTCAGGTAAATGTGTTTCAGAAGAAGGCAATATATTTTGGATTTGACAGGGTCTAAATGTTTAAATTGGACTGACTGTCAGTAAAGTCTGCTGAATTTCAATTAGAGGACTCTTTCTGCCAAAGTAGTTTTCAACATAAGCCGGCAGTTTGAAATACTTAATGTTTTCAATGTAAATTATCTTTTTTCCCCGTTTATTTTCGAAAACCGTTGGTGTGAACACTGAGAAATTGAAATAAGCTGTCATTGCTTCATTATAGTAATACACACATATGTCAGGCTGTAACTCTGTCTGAAAGCACAAGAGGCAAGAGAACAAGAGGCTGTCAGAACGGATTTGGAGAGACTAAAATCTTGAGGTGACCTGCACTAAAATGTGTGTTATACGGTCATCAGTGTTTTTTAAAGGCCTTGATTAAACCCTGTAAACATCTGGTTTTTGTCTCCAAAAAATAGTCATCTTTACCGTAAACTTTTACATGGCCAGTAGATGGAAAAGATAGAAATGTAATACAAGTGCTTTGGTTCATTCACGGTCACTGTTTGGGGTGTGTATGTATTGTTCGGTTCATTTGAGATAGGCTATGAGGTCAAATAAAGTTATGGGGGGGGGCTTGCTCTAATAACTCAGTGAAACTTCTCAGTAAGATGAAGTGTGGAGTGCAGCTGTCAGACAGTCTTGGAAATGGCAAGTGGACAAGAGTAGCATACAGTGAAATATATGCAGCCCTATGCAGTCGTGGAGGATTTCAGCATATGATTAGTAATATGGCCATTTCTATATAAAAATAACAAAGCAGCATTTTTTTTCATTTGCACTGATCAGAAATCCTATTATTTTAAGGTTTGAAAATGAAGTTTGTGTGAAGTGTTTATGTTCCAGAAATGTGTTAAGTCAAACAACTTTTTTGCCAAATAAATTAAAAGCATGTTAAAACTGGCAATGCCCCCCAAATATTTCTTGCATTGCAAGACGAAGAAAGTTCAAGAAAGTTTATGTTGTCTGCTAGCAGCAAGTATAAAAGTAGAAAGTTCTATATTTTTTCCAACTTCTCATTGGTAGTGGAGTGCATATACCTTGTCCAAGAGTGTGTACATACAGTGGTTCACAGACAAAAACCAGGTCAAGTGTAGGCTATGTCCAAATGCTAATAACTTTGTGTGTCCGTCTGTGGGAGTATCGTGATGTTTCTTCTGGCTTTGAATGAAGAGCTAATTTAGCGAGTCATCTATGATTAGCAGTAACAGCAGCAATAGATTCTGCAGAGCGTTTGTCTTCTGGTCTGTAGGAAACAGAGCTGCATAGAAACACTCAAAGTCTCACTGAGCTTTAAATTGAACTGTTTGTGTTTCTTGGATAAGACATCAATGCTGCTGCTCGATCAAATATATAGCAGCCTGCTGTTTCTGCTGCTCGCCCTGAAGTTAAATGTGCTCAAAGTGTTTGTCGATGAATCCAGGCTGAGGGATTTTAGAAATCACAGCACACTAATAGGCTACATAGCCCCGGGTTATTATGCCCAACCTAATATCATTTCATCAATGCAGGAGCTGTAATACAAGGCCGGGCACTGGAACTTCAAAGCGTAAAAAGCCACTTTATTAATGGTGAAGTCTGGTTTTGAAATATGGGATGAACAGCTGAATGTCTAAATATTCATGCAATCACGAATATTTGAGAGAGTGGGCTCGTGAGCTCTTCACAAAAACCAGTTGTCCTCGGTGACAGCATCATTCAAAAGAAGGTAAACGTTACAAGGTCGTGAACCACAACAGTCCAGGACTTTTACAAAGAGCAAGAGACGAAGAGAATATCATAATATCTCAGCATTCAGCATTTTAGTTTCAGGTGCAAATTGGGTTTACTTAATGTCAGCACATTCAGGGGTCAAGGCTGATTGATGTTGTTTTTCTGTCTATGTAGTGTTCGCTGCCTGTGTTGGCAAATTTGAGTGACAGAAATGGGACATGTCACGCAGGCAGAGGTTTGTATAACGAGAAATGAGAGTGCAGTTCATTAACATAAATTTGTATGTATGTAAGTGACTAACAGCATCCCCTTTTTCATGAGGTCAGAGTGTTGTCAGCTCTCCCTTCCTCACGTGAGCAATTTAATACCTGAAACAAGAACAGAGGATAACTTATGTGTGCATTATTATATTTATAGTATTATTATTATTATTATATAAAACAATGACACCATAAAAAACAGTAAAGTTATCATATAATTTATTTAGGCAAGCTGAACACACAAAAGAAACAACATTTCTAAACAAAATGAGATGTTTACAGTATTTATGTCAAAGGAAGCTCATTTCTGAAAGGTTGAGTTTTAACATTCGTTCAAAAGAGAATTTAAAAAAATGTTTGGCTTCATGTAAAGCTGCGTTCACATTTGCTTTCGTCATGTCACTAAGAGAAACATGTCAACTTGAGTCTTTAACACTGACCACAGCAGCTTTCTAAACTTTCAAGTGGTTTCTAAGTGAGATATGAAACATTTATTAAACATTTAATGGCAAACATCTGTTAGCTCTTTAAATTATAATTGCACAATTTAATGACACAGAACAGCCATTGTTGGGCTACTACCATTATCACATTTATCAAGTTAAACCAGATCATTCTCACTATACACCATCTTTAATCTCCAGCTATTTTCAACACCCCATGTTATACACAGCGTGTTTGTGGTAAAGTAAGTATTTTTACTAATCATTTCAAAACAGGTTCTTGCAAAGAACTACAGGGATGTAATTTGATAGTATTATAAGGAAAATACAGAAAGTGTTAAATTGGTACACACAATTAATAATACTTATTAATTGTTAGCATAACCCAGAGTGTAGAAAAGTAGAAAGTACCGCATGCACAGCAGTGCTTCTCTTCTGGGTGCCAGCCAGTTCAGAGCAAACCAAAGTAAACCAGACACATTCCAGCGCACACCAGGACATTAGGATTGACACCATTTTATTACATTAAAAACAAAAAGGAGCGAACTAAGCGTTTGGCATGTTGCTTCAGCAGATGAAAATATGGAATATATTTTTGTTGTCTGATAAACCAAAGAGTCTTTTAGTCAGTGCACAGCTGAATATGCAAACATGGGAAATATATCTACAGGCAAGTATACAATTCAACATACATAAAGAATAAACTTTCCAAAGCTAAATGAACAATGAATGAATATTTACTTTGATTTAAATAGAGCAGCTCTTTCAATTATTTATTTATTATTTTCCATATTATTAACAAATCACATAGGTATTTCCAGAAAACTTAACAGAAAGATTTCATGGAAGGAATTATTGAGTTTATTATTCCTTATCTCACTTATCTCAGTGCCCGTGTCTGCATATTGTTTTTACTTCTGGGTTTGATTTTTCAACATGATTAACAAGCAATGTTCTGTTCAGCAGGTAATTATCTGGGACACTGAAGTATCCTTTAATGAAGAATTTTTAAAAGTCCCACTTGACACCGCAAGGTTACATAATTATGTACTGACAAAAAACAAAAAACAAAGAAGTTATCACTGTGATGAATTACCAATCTCAAGCAATTTATAGTCTCTGGAGTTTTCATAATCCATTGAAAGAAATGGGAATATATTGCAGCCTAAAGATTAGTAAATCAATCAAAAACTACAGATATAAATTTATATTTAAGGGGCCAAAGTGTACAAAACCATTGGTATGCTCTTTAAAAGATCAAATAATAATTAATTCAGTAAAATAAATCAAACCAATGTCCGGTCAACAAAATCCTTGATGATGAAGCATTTGTTTTAGTTAAGTTGTAAAGTGCAATCAGAGCTATAGAGAATAAAAAGTTGTGCTCTGAAAGAGGCTGGTAAAATATTGATCAGCTTCAGGGAGAGTTCAAGGGAAGTGTATCGATTTGGAATAATGTTAATTCTCAAGTGTCTTCAGTAGCCTTTCCATTGACTCCATTGATGGTCCAGGGCATTCAGCTGCCTCACTCTCACTGCGTGTGTGTGTGTTAAAGTGTGCATCACCTCAAACAGATTCCTGTCTGATGAATATTGAGTGCTGACATTTCTTTTAATCCGAGTCTCAGTTCGGTGAGCACAGCGAGAAAACTCAAAAGTGGGTCAGTGTCTGCAGTCACGTTCCCGGGTACTTCACTCCTTCTGAAACGTGTGTTTGGCCTCAGCTAAACTGCAGATGCAGGGCACGAACAACAGCCATCAGTGCCATCATTGTTAACCGCTATCTCTTCGACGCCTCTTCCACCCTCTGATGTGATTCCCCCTCCCCCTGTCTTCCTATCTGCAGAAAGATGTATTTGAAAGGAACTGTGGCAGTGTGTTGTGCCCTGCACCCACGTGGCTCCGGAAAGAGGGGGCCCAACAAAGAAACCCGGTTCGATCTTCTACAAGCCACAGAGGTGAACAGCACCAGATTGGCTCTCACCCGGTGAGGTGTTGTAGGAAGATAAGGTGACGCTAGGTGAACTTGATGTAAAGCTTGAGGTGCTGGACACAGACTGAGCAGAACGAGGGAAGTGGAAAAAGGTACGAGACTCCTTGTTTATAGATGCTACTTAACACGTTTGCTGACCCTAAGGTTATTGCAGTAACATTTGTTAACGACATGGTTTCCTTGCACCGCTTTGTGTAAGGGATAGTGGTCTTTTGGATTTTCCTCAAAACAAATTTAAAAAGACAAATTACTTGACACTGACCTTGAGGGTGTGCATTAGGATAAATTCATACTGACATTAGCCCCCTCAAGACGCAGAGGGCACCTGCAAAAAAGTTGAACTTTTCCTGCAACACAATGCATCATCCAGCAGGGATGGCCAATCGAATACAGGTTCCTGGTAGATCACTTAGTAACGTGCACAGGATATTTCTACTGTAAGGTATTCAAATTGATGGATCTGTCACTCACACTGAATTTCAGAGATCATATTTCTTCTTTTAATCATCTCAGTACCTGAAGAAACACGCCTATAATGACACAGATGAGCACCACATTTGTAGGAACTTTGTATAGCTGGTCCCTTCAGCAGCCCCTTGACCAGCAGGGGGCAGAGTCTCTGACTACATGGTCGGTATAGTGGTCAAGAAAGAAAGTCACAATCCTCCCTCCGACAAAGCAGGACAAATTCTCTTTAACTGCATTGTAGATGTCATAGACTCCTTTTTAGTTCCAGCATCGGTCCAGCAAATACATCAGTCATCGGGTATAGGGGAGTTACAGTTCCCATGGTAGATATAGATGGGTCCACCACATCGATAATACAACTGAAACACTTCTCCGTATCCGTGGTCCCTCCACCAGGTGCACAGCTGCCGGTTCCAGCCACAGGCTAGGGAATAAAACAGCTCCGGATGCTCCATGCCGATCATGGTGAAGAAGTCCTGGTCACCCAGGTGGCCCCTGAAGCGATACTGGTCTGCTAGTTTGGCCACATTGCTAGGCTCCAACAGTTGGTTGTAGAGAGCTGAGGCCCTCATAGCACCAAGGTCCAATAACATAACACCACTGTTGAAGCCTGGGAGGCCATCAGGAGCAGGTTCACCAACTCTGGTCTGAGGGTTCTCCTTACGATACTGCCAGAACGTGTGTCTGAGAAAAGAAGGAAAGAGGTTGTAGAGTTTTGTTGTGGTAAAACCCCTCGCCTCACCATGATTTATAATAGGGCTGCACATTTTATAGAAATATTATTGAACTACGCCCTGGCCTACACATTTTGTTCTCCAGATCTAAAAAAAACATGTTTGTTTGTTACAGACCCCAACAAATGTCACATCATCATGATTTTAATGTTTTTCAGTGAAAATGAAAATTGTGATGCAAAATTGATCATTCATACTAATCGGGAATCATATCGCAATCATATGTTAGCCCTAATTTATAGCAGTGAAATTTTGGACCAAAATCAATTAATTGATGTGGAATTGCCCCAATCACTCAATTCACAAGCAGAGGCAAAGTAAATCTGTGCAGAGCTCTCTAATGTAGTTCAACATTGACATATGCACTGTTTAACAATTGTAAACCATCTTTTCAGTACTATCCTCTGAGAGAACGGAGAGCCCAAAATGAAAGAAGCCAACTGTTTGTTACTGTCATATTTGATAATCTGTCAGAGCACTGCTCTGCAAAAGAGGCATGGTTTGCTCTCAGTGGTAAGACAGCAGCCAAGTTACAAATATATCTCCTGAATAATCTGTTTACTTATTGTGCAGTTAGCAACTGAGCTAGTTAGCTTGCTAACTCACCAGCCACAGTAGCTTGCCAACTAGGCCTTACCAAGCTTCCAATATCAACAATTCTGCAAATGACAACAATCAGACCCAAGTAGATTAGTAGCACATGGTACAAATATTTCATAGAGACCCATTCATGTGCTTCAAATATAGGATGAGCCAGCTTCCAATAAAACACTGTCACTTTTTGTGCTATTAAAAAAGAGTATCTTTCCGAATCTGAACTCATCCCTCCTCACAGTCTGGAACTTGTACACCACTGGTGAAATCTCTCACTCTTATGTATGTTTAGGCTGCTGTACACGTAGAAAAGTGAGGGTCAACTCTGTTTCAATCCACATTTGCTGAACAAACTGCACTGTGGCTAAAAACAGGAAGAGAGCTGGTCCAGGAGTGTCAGAGCATGTTGGAGTGCCAGAGGCTTGTGCCAACTCAGCACCCTTTTCTGCCAACACACCAACTATGAAGCAGCTAAATGACACAAAGCTTCATTCAACAAGCATTTGTAAGCACACAAGTAAGACCTTTTGTGGGGTTTATTATTATTGTCTTATTTCCAAAGTTTACATTGGCAACACAGTCTAGTGTAATAGATAGCACTTGCTGGCCCCCATGTTAGTTGTAGGTTGCATGAAAAATTTGATCTAGGTAAGCTGCAGCCCTGACATATAATTGCTCAAATTAGCAAAATACAGTTCATTACTCCAGTATTAGTATTTATTGTACGCTTTTAGATAGATAGATACTTTATTTATCCCGAGGGAAACTCAAGGAAATTCTTTTACGACATCTAAAATACTGAATTGCAGAGAGATGATGCAATGGTATTACAAGAATATATGGAAGGTGTCTGTGTAAAATACACAGTTTTTTAAACTGGACCAGATGTTCAAAGTCTTACTAAATATGTCTAAAAGAAATTCATGACGTATTAATTTAAGCCGGACCTTTCATCAAGAAGACTTTTGAATGGCAAGAATTTGAAAGAGGCACCATATTTGGTTTGTAGCTCTAACTGATTCAGTACAAATGATCACCTTTATCCTACGATGGAACATTTCTATTCTGATGGGAGTGGTCTCTTGCATGATAACAATGCCCCTATCAAAGGGGTCACTGAATGGTTTAATAAATATGAAGAGGATGTGAATCATATGCTAAGGCCTTGGCGGTCACCAGATCTCAACCCAACTGAACAGAGTTCCAGAGACTGCATGTATGAATGAACTGTATTCAGCTGGTTGCAACCTGCAACTGTCTGCTAGATGCTGCAAAATCTTACACACTGGTCCTTTAATTCAGTCCTGGCTGTACACTTGTCCTAAGTGTTGTGAGAATCCCAAAAAGGGCAAGAGCAAGTTCAATTTAGCCAAGCTGGGACAGTCCTTCAGCATCCAGAAAAAGACCATATTCGTGTTTATTTGCCTATTCAATCCTGTGATGTATGACAAAACTCCTATGGGACAAATAAGAAATGCAGGAAATAACACATGGTCCTGTCTACATCTGTCATTTTCTTACTACACTACTTTCATGCTGTGGTTTTATACTTCTATCAAGTCTATGGAGACCACTGGGTGTACTATTTTTATTTTTTTTGGGAGTGAAGTGAAGTTTGCTTCAAGAAAGTACAAAATGTCCTTTTTTCTCCGTATGCTGACTAACAGCCGGTGCAATGATGTTTCATTCCTACCGAACACGAGGATGAATGGGAAGGAATCCTTTCTTGTATGCATGTGTACACGCACACACTCTCCACAGAATTGAGATTATTCTTAGTATTGGCCAAGCCTGAGGATGTGGATTAAATATTAATAGAGTAATGCCTTAGGTTAAAACACATGGGGGTTGGAAGACAGAAAAAGCATGTTGCAGGGCAGGTAGTTTATAAAACATAAAGATCACATCAATAAATTTGTGGAATTTACAATCAGCCGCCTGCTCTCTTGGTAAATGTATGTGGGAAAACAGCGTGGAATAATTGTGCTTCATATGTAGCAGTTACCTCTCTCTCTTTCCGCACGGCTTGATCAAATCTAGTGGGAGCAGCAGATTCTGTGAATCATGCTTTGATATTATTACTGTACTGACCTATATTCAGCAGCTGTAGCGTGTCCACACAGTTGTATACAGTCTGTTGGTCTGCTAGCTGGGGACTTGTGGCCCCTGTGGAGCATTTATCATTTTTAAAAGACATACACTGGGTCTACGTGCCCTGAGACACATTCAGGGTGAGCACAGTCAGTCAGGGAACATTTACACAGACTTTTCCATTGTGCTGTTTTGACATAAGAATGTACTAAGTGAAACATACTGCAGTATCTCAAGTGTTATGATGGCCATAATATGCGACTGACTTCGTAGTTTAAAAGATGTGACACAATTTACTTTTTACATTACATATTTCTACTTATATAGATTTATTTTTACAAACAATCTAGCAACAACTGCAGCCCGACATATACAAATGTTTTCCATACCAGTGGATATTTAAAACAACAACTAAAGGACTCCCCCGAGATAGAGACAAGGAAAACATTATAACAGATATGCAGATCAAAGCCACAGTTGGCAAGAGGCTTATCATGTAACCCCCCCCCTTGACAAGTATACATCCAATATTGCATGCGATCATTAGGCATTAATTTCTGCAAACTTAAAACTACTGTACTCTTATGGAGGACCTAAAACACATTGGATAACTTCAATATATACAGTATACCAATCATTTAAAAAAATCTAGTCTTAAACTGCAAATCGGTCACCAGAACTCAATGAGACAGGTCACTTCGGCCTTTGAGAAGATTTGAAGAGTACAGAATGCAGCTCTGTTTTTCTGTTCCTTTGTACCAGTACAATCAAACCAGACTCAGTCAAACTAGACATACTATAACCTCTTAGCTCAGATCAGTTCTCCTGCAAGTGCCTCTTCTCCTGCCCCTGCCAACCTTTCAAGGGAAGCGTCTCTCTCACTCGCGAAAGAATGAAAAGCATTAGCAGGTGACGGGGACATTCTGTGCTGGTATCTCATCCAAATGTGTCCTCCATTTTGTTCAGGACAAGAAACAGGCTGCCCTCTAAAAGCTGCGTAAAACACTCTTGCTGTCAGAGGGGAGTCTGGGTCTGGGGTACACAAATGTACTGTCTGGTGCTTTCTATGACGGCGTAGTTTGGCAACACGAAGAGTATATATTGAACAAAAAATCTGGAAGTGATGGGAAAGAGGGACCTTTTAACAAGAAAGCATACAGTGCTGGTGCATATTTAAAATCCAAGTTTGCAGAATCATAAAAAGTATAAATCAATTCATTTATTGCATACCATATACAACAAGGTTTATTCGAGCCTTTAACATCTTCTGTGCATTGCGTTAGAGACACATGATGGTACAGTCTTTTCAAGAAAATGGTATCTACTACTTGCAAAACCAAGTTTTGATCAGAATGTAGTCTTAGTCACACTAAGTGTACTACACAGCTCTCAGCCATCTGACTGCAAAATTAAATATTTCACATACAACATTTGATTCCAGCAAAACCGGGGACTATGTGGGATGTATCACACAATGGAGACTCAACACACAAAGTGTAAAAAGAGTGACTTGCTTCTTGCTAATGTCTCTCATTGTGTGTGTTTGTGGCTTTGACTGTGACACTTATGTAAGTGGGTCTTGTCTCTTGGGTTTTAAAACATTACAAATGCAGCTGCAGGGAAAAGAAGCGGGCATTTTTTTTTCTGATAATGAACTTTTCAGCGGCAGGATGTGCTCTGAATGCGGCTGGTGGGAGGATGTGTTCTCCTGCATAATGCTCTGTCCATTAGCACCATAAAGAGAGTGGGAGCCGAGAGCCCTCTCCACTCAACACAGGAAAACACTCCAGTGGAGAGCACTGACACAATGCATCATGAATACCAAGTTTAAAATATTACAAGGTCCATTGACCATTGGCTAATGGCTAACAAGCCAGCTCACTGGGCTAACAGGCTAGTACCAGGTTTGTTCCTCAAATGTTCTTAAGAAAACATTTAAAGGTCAAGTGTGTATGATTTAGTGGCATCTAGCAGTGTAGTTGCAGATTGTAACGCCCCCATGCAAATGGTCCTATCTAGAGGCAGTTTCTGGTTTGCCCGTTCTACTTGTCACTTTCTACTCGATATGCAAAGTCACGGCGGCTACAGGTGAAATTTATAGTCAATAAATCAAGTCACCACAAAAATCCACTAAAAAATATGAGTCGTTCTTTGAACCGTTATAGCCAAGCTGTGGACCACTACTGACTGGATGGTGAACGATATCCTTGAGAGTCTCAGTATCGTCTCAGTATCGCCAATCCCCAACAGACAGACAACGAGTTGTGACAGCTTGTGTGACAACCAGTGGGGCTGTGCATGCTAAGAGGCACGTTCTCCTGCTATGTTGCAGTGTGTTTTAAATGAGTGCATCCGGGCCCACAGGAACAACATTTGCAGGGGTTTCCCAGGGTTAGTAACCCATTGAACCAGTTCAGTGGAAGGGTAGAGATACAGATCTGTTTGGAGATGCTGGTGCCAACTGGGGCCTGACAGGAAAACTACAACTCCACTTCTAAAACTTCTTTTGCAGAAACCTGACATCAGTAACGTTTACATTTAGGCTTTATTGTCTCGCATGTAAATATAAATACTACATTTTCACATACATACTGATTTTACTTTAACTTTAACTAACTAGACCATAACAATGATGTTATCCAACAAATCACTATTACGCTGTATTTATTACTTTTTATATTACCTAAATGTTGATTATCTGACACATTAAAATAATAGCTATAGGCTACTAAATTTGGCTTTATTAAACTTTATTTTTCACTAGCTTCTTGGTCCAAATACTGGAGGTCCTGATAAAAAACTATATATATATATATATATATATATAAAAACCGAAATTATTGATATGATGTTAAAACTGTAAAAACGCAAGTATTGTAACTAGAGAGAAGCGGTATCACTCCGTTAGAGTTAACAGAACTACAAAAACACTCATGTTGTACAGTGGTGTTACAGAGTGGTG